GGCGAGCGGCCGGGGGCGGCCGAGGGCGCTGGGCGCGCGGCTTCCGAAGTCGCCAGCAGCCCCGGAGACTTGACTTCGCTCTCTCCTCCCGCCCCCCCTGCCGGTCACGGTACAAATTCTCCGGATCGTCTGGGTTAGGATCCGGTTCTGTAGAATGTGCAAGCGGTTTCCACTCACCCGGCGGGGAGGCCAAGAATCAAAAGAGAGGGTGGTCCTCCGGCGAAGAACGGGGTGCGTTTAGAGGTAGATTCTTCTTTCTTAGAAATTAGGTAGGTGTCTTGGGTGGGGCGTGGGTAGGGTCGGCGGTGAGAGCGTCCCAGCGCGGAGGTGGGCAGGCGGGGGGCGCGGCGGCGGGGCCGCGGGTGAGGGACTCCGCGCGGCTTCGGCTCCGGTTCTGTCCCTCCCGCCGCGGAAGCTGGAAGACAAGTGGCGAGGCCGGCTCTCCACCTCTCTGCTCCCTTCCCCCGCGGGCCGGGGGTCGGCGCCGGGCTGGGGAGGGGGCGGGCCGGACGCCTGCGATTGGCCGCGGCCGCACCTGGGGCGCCGGGCGCCACCGCCCCCCAGCTGTTGGGAACAACTGCTTCTCTCCCGGCGCGGCGCTGGGCCGCCAGGCTTGGCCTCTGGAGCCGGCGCTGGGGTAGGGCTGGGGACGGCTGGAGGCGGCCTTGCTCTCGGCGTCGCCTGCTCTAACCCATCAAAGTCCTAGGGGCTCGGCGTGGCTCCAGCCGGGACCCAGGGCGCGAGGACTGCGCCCGAGGAGGGAGCTGCGTCGCTTTCCAAAACGACAACGCGAGCTCTTAGCGCTCCGTCACGGTGACAGGGCCGGCGACCTGGACTGACTGGGGCTCCGGAGGCCTGGGGCGGGTCGCTGAGAATCCAGTTCCCTCCCAGGCGTGGAGGGCCAACGAGCTCGGCTAACAATACCCGAGCTGGATACTCTGGGGCCTGGAGGGTGAGAAGGGGAGCCCCTAACCTTCCTTGACCCCAAAGATCCCGTCCTGCGGAGAACCAGCGAGGCAGAGCCAGCAGGAAAAAAAGGGGTCTAGCGCTCGGGTGTGCTGGGGAGAAGCATTATCTTTAATTGCTCGTGGCCCAGCCAAGCTAAGTAACCGCAGCCACCTAAGTCTATCAGGCACAGCCTTCTGTTTCAGAGAACCATAAATTAGTACTTTAGTCCCCACAGTCACCAAATTTCTGTTTCCCCCCTGACTTATTCCTCCCTAACTATTCGAGAAGATTGGTACAGAATTCTCATCATAAAACTCTCTTTATTTCTTCTAAGCAAAGAATTAATCTATTTCCTTCTATTTGAATTGCAAGAATGTTTAGTGACTTGACCTCAACTGTTCTATCAGGAGGTAATTGTAAAAGGTGTAATTTTTGAAATTGACTTATTATGTAACCACTAGTTTCTATCAGCAGACCTTTAAATCTTATGTAGAAAATACAGACTTTAGTGCACCCCTTATATGCTTATTTTTTTATATTAGCTTTTTGCAACTTCTTTTCCAGAGTACAATTATGCCTAAAATCATTGTCATGTTTGAGGTTTGGATGGAGATATTAAATGTGAGCAGAATGTTTCACCCACCACTGTTGGTGCACGGTTTGCTTTTAAGACATTTCTGCCTAGAGTGTCTGCTGAAGTCCATACATTAATTGCCCCTGGGCCATACCATTTACTCCCTTTAAAGTGGTTCAATATATTAACCTACCAGAGAGGCATATACTGTACTTCTGTTTCTCTTTCCAGGGCACCTTTGCAGTCAACCCAAAAGGATGAGATATATTGCCTTTGCAAAAGCTAATGAGAATGCAAATATTCTCGTGCAAAATGTTAAATTCTGGTTTTCATCTTGCTGACTTCTGCATGAGGTTGGCCTTTTGAGGTCATCAGTTTCTTTAAGCTTGAACTCCCAGTGGGAGATGTAGAGAAATAAGAAATCTAAAGTTCTTTTGAAAAAATGTTTTTAAAATCCAATTGAAGAAAAATAAAGCATTTTACAGAAAGCCCGAAAGTGATGTTGTAAACAACACCCTCTCCGCTTTGCTTAAGTATAGGTTTTAAAGGGACTCTGTGTACTGGTATGATGAAAGATAATTTTTAAAAATTAGAAAAACAAAGCAGGCCATGAAACAGGAGGAGTGTTTTTTAATATTCAACATCCATCTTGCAGTGTCACTTAAGAATTACTGTACTTAGATGAAGCTCAGGCAAAAACTCTTTTGTGAGGGGAAGCTACTTACAGAGAAGCCTTAAAAAGAAGAGTGACTTTGGCTGTCTCACCTCTCTTCCTACCTGGACACGGAGCCCACCCCAGAGGGGACTGTGATAATATCAGAGAAGGAGGGAGTCTGGGAGTGTAGCCAGCAGCATGGATGTTCACTAGGTAAAGTGGTGAGATCTACAAGGAAATTCTGATCCCAGAATTTGACTTCTGGGAATAAGATGTTTCCTTGCCATAATCCCGTCGAAAATAATGCAGCCACCCTCCCCGACCCCATGCAACTCAATTGGTGTGAGTCTATTCTTTCAATCGAGTGGTAAATATTTGATAGCTTTGGTTTGAAACTTTGTTTATTTTGTATGAAATGCTGCCTGGGTATCCCTGATTTTGAATTCCAGCGATAATTAAAGCAATACTAATAATCTGGTGTGACGTGATACACTGAGGACAATTGGTTTGGAAAATAAGGCATCTTGTTTTCCAAACCAATTTAAAGAAAAGTCATAATTCATACTCAGTTCAGCATGACAAACCATTGAGCGCCCCCCACAGGCAGGCACTGTGCCAGGGGTATAGGCATTATTGACACTGTGGGCTTTGTTTTACATCTGCACAAAGGTGGGTATAGTTACAACAGCCAGATCCATTCCTGGTGGATTTAGGAACTTGAGCCATCAGACCATGTAGCCTTGAGGCCGTAAAATCTTTCTGAATTCAAAGTTTCAAGGTTCTTAGGTACCAAATATTTCTGTACAATTACCCGTTACAAATTCAGGTTTGAAAACCAATACTGGGGTAATCCTTTTGCTGTCTCAGCTGCTTTTGGTGGAGAAGAGCACTTGTATATTCACAGACGTTGTGCAATATGATGTGTGCTTGTTTGGAAAGACAGAGCCATAAAATACTTTGAAAGTTATAAATAGGTTCCAAGCTTGTCATATCCAAATTAGTACATATGGATGGCCCTGAGTCCTTGGTTCCTACTCCATGGCAAGATCGATGTTATTTTATTACTTACAGTAAATTATTCTCTACTTTGTTCAAAGCGTTTATCCGACTATTAAAGGCCAGAACCAAACTCACAAGTTTCACGTTCCTTTATCTATTTTCTTTTTTTGCCCATTCCTCTTATATTAATCATGGACATAAGCCTTGGACAACCGGTCCAAGGCTTATGAAGAATTTTGAGAAAAGAGAGTAATATTTCATGAAGGTAGAGAAGCACTACTTCAGCTTATGGAGGTGCCTACTCCAGAGATAATATTGCTTTGGACAGTAAGTCTCCTGTGGGCAGAATTGGTCTCTTGGATGTCACTGGATCCCCTACAGATCAGCTAGATCCTCTGCAGAGTTCTACATATATGAACACTGAAGAAATGTTTACTGGAGAGAATTAATATCTTAAAGATATCTATCTGCAAGCTTGATGGGAAAAAATACATTCTTGATTAGAACCGATCAGTTGCAGAGTATTTAGGCCAGGAATTTTTTTTGAAAAACAAAAATATGACTTTGATGAAGTCTTTTGTTTTGATTGTTTGGAAATGTTTACCTTCTTTTCAGAGTCTGTGTGAGCATTCTGAGTTAAAACCAACAGGTTTTCTGCCCTTTTGAGAAGTCCCGTGATCAGCTGTATTTCTGTTTCTCTGGATGGGTTGGTAATTTTCTCTTAGTAACAGATAACAAATGTGTGTAATAGGTTATGCTGCTATTTTAGTGTGCAGAAGAATTGGCAGTCAGAAACCTAGTCAGTTCAGCTCAGATCCTTCTCTGGGAGAATTCTATTCATGCTGCATTAAACCACATCTAAGCTGAGAAGTAAAGTGAAATGGAAATTTGTAACTGTTACTCAATCATTGAAATCATAATGCCTCTTTTACGTCAAACATCCAGAAAATAGAAGGCAGAATACGGTTACTTGGAGGATGAGGGGAGGGCAAAATTGAAAGTGAGAGGGAAAAAAAAGTTCACTGCCAACTTCGCCCCACCAACAGTTTCACTCTGACCGTGTAGAAGTTGCTTTAAGTGGATGCACACTGTAAATTCTCTTATATAAATCTGAAAGGCAAGGAAGAGAATGCAAACACTTTAAACCCACTGTGTGCTTCTTCACATTTTAAATTCAGAGTGTACTTCGGTTTTAAGTCTTTAAACAGTGAGCCTGGGAGCTGCCAAGTTATTTTTAGGGAGCTCATGGTCCTCTCCAAATGTATTGAATGACTCTCGCTTGATGACAGATTCCTTTTAATGATGGTGCTTGTGTGCTTGGTGCAGTGGAAATAGCCTTGGATCCCAAGACAGGAGACCTAGGGCCTCGCTCAGGCAGGGATTAACCAGCTCCAAGACCTTGTTTGGTTTGTTCCATTAACAAGTATGAGTGTGGTTAGAAGAACCTACAACAGTCTTCCCTGAGCAGACACGCCCTAGAATGGAGGACTCTAGTCTGACCTCTTATTTACAGATTTGTTTAGTTTATGAGAGAGCCCAATGTTAACACTCAAGTGTTATTCATTTACTTTTTAATTTAAACTTGAGATCATTTTGTAAGATTGCTATGTTCTCTGCTAACAAAGGAAAGGCATATTCATGACAGAAAATTATGAAAAAGCATAAAGATGTACAAAGAAGAAAATCAAAATCACCCACAATTCTACTCAAAATAA